GAAAAAAATTCCTCATTATCCACTCCTTTACAAGAGACAGAAGGATGAAGGGAACACTATCAGTGTTCACTCATTCTTTCTCTACTGGAAAATAGGAATCAGCTTTGTAAAGGTCAGTTCTAGGAAATGTATTTTAAAATGCAGAAAAGTGTATGAAGGCTTAATGCATCTTTATTATAATCTCTTCTGTTTTGCTATAAAAAGAGAGCTTGCACAAATTTTCTTTCTCGGGGCTATTTCTTACTCCTCTTTCTTTTCTCTTTTACTTTCTGCTCTTTGACAGCTCCTCTGTAGAAAGTTTATCTTTTATTAGCTTTTTGGCCTCCAGTCATCATGCCCTGTCAGAATCCTTCGGGGTATGTTGAACTTTTATTCTAGTATTGTCTTTTTCTCCTGCAGCCTTATCACTATCGTTTCTTTGAAAAGCTGTCCCCTGTTTAATAGCTGAAGGTTAACTTCCTGTAGAACCTTTTAATCATACCGGCAGAGAGTTCAACTGGAAGTATTACCATTCTGGTCTCATATTTATGGGTTTAATTAGGTTTGTTAGATGTATAGGAGAGAAACTTTGCCTATTAAAGAGTGTTCACTAATAATTCTTCCAGATCTTTTCTGCTTTTCATTAACACACCTGAAATTTTTCATAATTAAATAATAAATTGTTCTTCCAATACTTTTGCAAATTCAACTCTCCTTATTTGTATGAATAAAGCATATATGTATATAGTTTGTTGCATTATGTATTTTTCTATAACTTTACACCCGATTTAACATCAATAATGCATCACCTAAGTGATACATTTTTTCCTAAGTGGGTGCCACTTAGATAAGAAAATTCCTTAGGGAATTGCATAAAAATCACACAGAAATATTATTGTAAATGTCATGAAAAACCTATATTATCTTAATTTAACAGTTAAATTAATAACATAAACTTAAAAAGTACCATATTTTCAGAGGGCAGTGCTAGTCTTTGATGCTTATTAGCAGAAAACGCACTAAGCTGGCAAGATATAAAAGGAAGGTTTATTTTCTTTGCTGGTCTCCAACTAATTGCCGTAAAATCAACTCAGTGCTTTTCCCAGCTTTGACTCTCATGGAAGAGTAAGCAATCCAAGCTTCAATCTCTTGATGTGGTCACATCTTTTGCCAAGTTTCTCTTTCAAGTTCCTCAAAACAAACATGCATGCCAATTAAGCAAAATAAATAAGGGAGGAACTTGCTGTGCCCTCGTGCCATTTTCTCATTAATTCTAGGAAATGACTCGGGACCTCTTCCCATTATTATCCAATAGATTAAATGGCACCGTCCCCCAAATGGGCTCAGGTAAAAGTGCCAGGTTTGCTTTCATCTTGGACTCTATACTGTTTGAATGGAGAACAGACCAAACAGTGCCCTTTGAGGAGGAGGATGCCTTTATTCATAATGTCATCCATTAGAGAAAGGTTTGACAAAGGTCAGCTTTGCTCCAGTGTAAAAGAAAATGCTGGCAATTCCTGTGAAGCCACTTCTTGCTTCTTAGAACTATCATCATTTCTGGATTTATTGCAAAAATTTTCCCATCAAGTTGCTTTGAGATAACAAATAAAACTTGGATTATACCACGATCTAATCAGCTAAATTAAAAATATTTTATCTTAAGGTTATTTTATTATAGTAGTCAAAAATATTAAGCACAAGAGATAACTGGAATAGTCCAATATATCAAATTAGCTCAGAAATGGTGTATGTAAAGGAGAGGTAAGGAAAATGCAATGAAGGAACTATATTCCAGGATACATACAAGAAGAAAAAAACTATGAGTTGACTATAGAACTTTATGATAGGGCCTGTGAAATTTCCTTTGTTCATGTTGGCATATTCACTACTATTCTCAACTTTTAGATCTTGTTTAGGTGACCATGTTGTTGAGATTTCATTGGTACAGCTTTCCTGCTATGTATAGAAAATACTGTCTTGAAGCACACATCCTGCATGATCATGGATGCATCATGAAAATAAACCATTGCTGTACTGCAGCACTAGACCACAACCAAACGATGACAATGGACTATGGTTATACCATGACATTGCACCACAACAACACTGGCTCATACTGGCACCATGAGAGTAAACTATAGATGCATCATGACACTTGACCACAGATATTCTGAGACTAGATCATGGTTACGCAATGGCAGTGGACCATGTCTATGCTGTGAAATTATACCATGACAGTGGACCATGGGTCCATCCTTATTATGGGCTATGCTTTTCTATAACAATGGATTACAGCTATATAATAACAGTGAGCAACTACTGCATAGTGACAGTGGCAGAAGGGGGTCAGGGGGGGAATAAGACCCAAATGTACTTTTCTTTCTCCCTAGGCTTTCATAATGATGCCACCAATTTAGTAAGCCAAATGAGAAGCTAGAATGAAAGACAGCATTAAGGTTGCAATTTTATGCCATCAACAGAGGGTACAAGTGAATGATGTATGAATCAAAACCATTACACACATGTAATTTATCTTCTTTAAAACTAAATACTGTGCTTCAAATAAACATGTTGTTTCTTGTGGTCTTTGGCAGTTTGGAATAAAAGTTTAGAAATAAAAGCCTACAAATTTCAGAACAGTACGAAGAAAAAAATAACTTAATAGAGAAAAGACGTTGAGGGTCAGTGAAATGGCTCAGGAAGTCAAGGTACCTATTCCTAATCCCAGTGACTTGAGTTTGACCCCAAGGACCCACATGACAGAAGGAGAGAGCCACTTCTCACAAGTTGTTCTTTTACCTCCGCAGAGTATGTTATGTGTAGACACTACTGACATACACACACAACCTCATAACATAAAATAAAAATGTTTAAATGTATTTGTTGTAATGATATATGTATATATATGTATGTATGTATATATATATATATGTTCATTCTATTTAAATGAAATCATTGTAGGTGCATTATTTTCCTCTCTTCTTGGTTGATGGTATGAAATTCTAGGGTAACTGTAAACAGACTGTCATCCTTATTTATCCCTGTGGCATATTATGTATCTTTATCCAAATATTGAAAGAACTTGTCCTAATGCTGAAGAAGCAGTGTGGAGATTTCATTTGCCTGACAATTCCCTTCTATAACACATCTAAATTACAGCAGCTATGTTGCCCTATGTCTTAATATACTACAGCAAGAGAAATAGAGGGGAGCTTTCTGAATCACCATGTAGGGAATTCCTGCCTCATGGATTTCAAAGGAAGAAGCACATGAAATTCCTCTCAGAAGTGTCCAAAGCATCTCATCATTACTTTCTACAATAATTTTATAGCAGTCTATTGGTCATCTTATTATACTATTGAACATAGAAATATAATATATAAATGCCTGGTTTCAAGTTAAATAAAATTAAGATAATTATTTATTAAGACCACTGAGTGATCAATATACAAAATAAAATGATCCCTATCACAATCTCAAAGCTCACATTTGCAATTCTTACATGTCTCACTGTGTCTTCAAGTAATTTAACGTGCAACCTTTTGAGAAAGATCAAATCAGTTTGTTACATGGCCTAGGGAAGAAGGACCTCCTAGTTACACAAGAAGGAAAAGCAACTTTCCAAACCTATTGTTAATGAATGGGTAAGCCTGTTCAGGATTACAGAGTAATACCAAGAGAAAGCCAGAAAGCCAGTGTTCTTTTCCTTAAAACTGGACAGATACTAGTTGATGACTTCAGGATTTATCTGCAATAATTTCTGTGAGGATCATATAGTTTATGTCATCTGTGTGAAGTAACAAAAGCAATCTATTCTGTTTGTATATTTTCTTTATTATTACAGGGATACATTACGTTGTGCTTTATATATTTGTTTAAGATGTGGCAAAACTTAGTCTTTTATTACAATTTTAAAAAGTACTTGATATCCCCCACTGATAAAGGAAATTGCATACATACACACATAATCATCTATTGTCTCATTTTGTTCACAATTTCTCTCTTCATCACTATATATTTTTATAAAGTTGAATACATCAAATTAAATAAAGTCACAGATTGTAAACATCACAGAATCCTCAGCCAAGCATAATGTCTTGATACTCAAGAAAAGATGCTTCATGAATGAGGTGTTTGTTGGCTTCTTTGGTTGTATTTTCATTGTTGATTTTAACAATGTATTCCCCTTTGAGAGAATCAACTGTGTGCAACTAAGTATGGAGCTGCTGTTTGTGTTCAGGTGTGTGTGTGTGTGTGTGTGTGTGTGTGTGTGTGTGTGTGTGTGTGTATGTTATTCCTACATATACCTATGGGTTGCATGACTGAATCACATAGCCCAGTAATTGCCCAGTTGCTTTCAAAGGGGTTCAACTCTGTTATATTTTAACAACCAGTGAGGAATATGCTTGCCAGCATTTCAAATAACAGAAATGTTTTGTTGTATGCATTATGGTATATAAGTAGCATATGTCATCATAGTATAATTTCCCTTATTAAAGAGCAACTTATAAAAACACCATAGTTGCCGAAAAGCCCAACTAATTCTTTAATTTTGATAATGAAATAATGTGAGTCAGTGATTTACTTTTGAAAAGAGTTCTATATCGATTATCTAATTCCTCGTATATTCATATGGACTTAGGTTGGCTATTCATGTGAAAATGAGCTTGTTATTCATATTGTTAAAATATTATCCTGAAGATACCCACACGACTCTACTAACTTATATAGCTGTGAAGTTATGCTGACATCTTCCTTCATCACTCACATTAGTCATTTATGACTAAATTTTCCTTAGTCTTGCAGAGGTTAATCACCTACATTGTTTCAAAGAAGCAGCTACAGATTTCATTGTTTACCAACAGATTGCACAGATGTTAACATAAATTTATTTCATTCTCATTTTTTTTATTTTCTCCTATGAAATCTGGATTTTCTCTGCTCCTTTTCTCTCTTGTTTTTTTTTTTTCTTTCTTTCTTTCTTTTTTTTTTTTTTTTTTTTTTTTTTTTTTTTTTTTGAAAACGGGAGAGCGTGAATGCAGTCCCCCACTACCACAAATTATGCAGTCGAGTTTCCCACATTTGGGGAAATCACAGGGGTCAGCACATCCGGAGAGCAATGGATAAGCCTCACCCTGAGAAAACCACCTTTAATATGATATACATGTGTATATTTCTGGTTTTATGTATTTTCTTTTAATATAGGTGTTTGTACTATAAATTTCAATGTTTTGCAAAGCTTTGCTTATACCACTCACTTGATATATGCATTTTATTTCTTTATTATTGAAATTTTCTCTTTAATTCTATGGCTTACGTGGAATCATGTTGACTCTTTTCCAGATATTGTTTAATTTCATTTCAATGATATTATCTTGCCTTTTAAAATGTAATTATTCCTTTGTAATATAAAGATATTTTTGAATTTTGAAACATATGGCACTTGTTAAGCTAAAACATTATGTTCTAAGATGAGGTTAAATCAAATGATTTTAAAGTGAAAATTTCACCTTTTTAAATTAAATTACATTTACATCATTTTCCTTTCTCCAACTTCTCCCATGTAACCCCTTGCTCCCTGGAAAAAGCTAATGTTAAATTGAATAAAGCTGGTAGCAATCTCACAGAAAATGCAACCCAGATAACCAGCAACCTGTGAAAGGAACAAGCCTGAGGAATTCCATTGTCCTATGAGCAATCAACATGTCAAAGCTCATGATCATACAAGTTATGTAAGAAGCCAAGTTCCCAACCAAGCAAACACAAACTTGGCACTTTCAGCCATGTAACTCTGGCTTGGGAGTCAAGGATACAGAAAAGCAGTGATGGTATGTTCTTTCATGGTTAAAGAAGGCTGCTGAAGCCAGATGTTTGTCAGGACAGTCCCTACATGGAAGCACAGAGAAACTGGGAAGGTAAAGCCAAGAAATTGGAGACACCAGAGTCATGTGCCACCTGCCAAGGAGAGCTGCTAGGAGGGTGTGGAAACAGCCTAAGAGAAAGAACTGTATTACATCAAAGCTAGAAGGAACTGGAACATTGAAGAGCACTTTATCATTAGACACAGAGATGCAGAATGCAGAGTTTGCCCTGTGGGTTTTGGTCTTGCTTTGGTCCAGTATTTCTTCATTATGCCTCCTTTCAACCCCTTTTGTAATAATATATATTCTATTCCATTGTATGTTGGAAGTATGTGATCTCATTCTGGGTTTTGATTTTACAGGGCATGATAGCTAAGGAGAGAGCTTGGACTTTTCCCATTTTAGGTGTTATTCCTGCACTGCCACCATGCGAGTGCTGAGAGTAGAATTCGGGTGCTCTGGAAGAGAAGTCAGTGACTTTAACCACTGAAACATCTTTTCAGCCCTCATATTTTCATAGATTTTCTTTTTGTTATAACAATTTAATTACAATAGTTCTCCCTCCAAACCCTACCATATGTCCCTGCCTGCTCTCCTTTAAATTTATAGGCTCTTTTTAAATTAATCATTATTGCATATAAATATATATATGTATATATTACATATATACATATGTATGCATGTATGTTTATTCCTAATATAACCTGTTCAATTAAGGTTACAAGTATGTATGTTTTCAGGACTCACAGGACTCACCATTTGGCCATAGACAACAAGTTGGTATGCTTTTCCATGAGTAAGACCACCTTCTCCCAGCTTTACTCTTTACTTGTAGTATTATGTATAGGGTTAAGGTCCCTGGCTATTAGTTTTGTGGTAAAGATAAACAAGATTGAAAATCAAAGTGGAACTTAAAAGTAACTAATGTAGATATTAGTGGTTTTCTTCTGAATGTGCTTAATCTAAACTTCATTCTATTTCCAATAAAACTTCATAAAATAAAATAAGAATTGAAGTTGAAATTGTTCCTTTATGAAGAGAACTTAGTCATGAGCTTAGTCTGGAGATGTAGAGTTAGTTATTGCCTAACAGTTATGTAGTAATTGGGCAAATTTATATGGGTGAATCAAAATACAGATGGGGAGTTATGTCTCATTCAATTGACAAGTTATGAAAATGGTAGCATGCAAGTTATTATAACATAAGCAACCATCTTTCTGTACTTCTTACTAGAATGATCTCTAGATGCTAGACATACAAATCTTTCTGGTAGACTAGCTAACACTAATATGGGATTTTCTCAGTTTCATTTTGAAAACTCTATAAATGCATTTTCTTTCAGTACTGCTCTCCACTATGAAAAAGAGGTAAACCTTTACTAAGTCTGTTCCCTTAGGATAATAAAAAGAAAATGCCATTCAGTTCTTTTAAGAGCTTCTATTGATCATCCATGAATGTTTATAGATTTCTAACAAATGGTACCCTTTGCAAAACACTGCAGGAATAGTACTGGATCCACTATATGTCTCAGGGGAGTTAATACACTATAATTTTAGTTTTTGCTCAAAGATCATTTGAATACTGTGAAAATAGTTCATTTCTTTTCTTACCATAATTCTGGATTATTAGGTAAAGTAATTAACTATTATAAAAATGAAATCTCAACTGTTCTCAAAGTCAGGAGCATCCATTATGGAGGTATCAACACCATCTAGTAGGAGGTATTACATATTTGTGCAAAAAGAAGCCATTTAAGAAAGCCATAGTGACTCCCATTTTATGCCTGGTGTTTTGTCCTCTTAACGAAGAGAAAGTTCTCAATGGTCATACTTTTGCAGTTGCAAAGAAGCAATAAGAAAGAAAAATTCAAAGAACATTTTGTCCCTCACATTATGGCTTTTTGAAAGATCTTTCGTGGTTTGCATCACAATCGATACTAATATAAACTGTTAGCTGTGATCCTGCAAAAATCTGTTTCAGACCCTCTGACTGACAGCAACCTTCATAGGACTATGTAAAATGATTCAGATCACTGGTATAACATTTAGGATTGAAAATATATTTATGTAGATTATTTACAGGTTTAAATAAAATAACCCTATTATGTCATCAGAGTATAAGATATCTGGGAGGCAAAAGAACCCCCTGGTCACCATTGCTCAATTCTTTATTCTCCACCTTTTTCTCTTCCACTGGAGAAAGCATACAGAAATATGAAGAGAGAAAATAGTGTTTGTATTTCAAAAATCTTTGACACAATCTGTTAGGAATTTTGGCTCAGTTAATAATTTTCCTGGCATTGTTATATTAATCGAAAAACCCAAACCCACAACGGAGTGCCACCATTTAGTGTCAGTACACAAAATACAGAAGACACTTTGTATCGTGTAATTGTAAATGTTAATGCCTTATTCTTCTGTCATTATTGTTTTTTATTGTTATATACACAGTGGTGTTTTCATAGTTTGTGCAATTATAACTCTGTCTTACCTGCAATTACCTCACATTCCAAGCTATTCCACCCAGTAGAAAGAGTGGCATCTGGTGACCTCCTCTTTGATATGTATGTATGTATGTATGTGTGTGTTTCACAGTAAAAATTTTACTATACTTTGTGCGCTAGAGAAACCCTGACTCAATAAACCAAAAAAAAAATTAAGTTTCAATTCACATGTTGGTGCAATGCACCTGTGACCAACACAGCCTGCTGTCTATAATAATGTAATAATGAGACAATGAGATATTACTGGCCTTGTATTTTTCTTCTGATCAGAGATACCTTTTACTTGGAAAGCATGCCAGTAAGGTCTAAGAGAACCACCTGTCCATATCTCCCTTATCTGCTTCATCAGAACCACTACAGTATATTGAACATGTTTCAATAATGTCCTCCTTTAAAAGTCGCTGATGGGGGGAGGGGGCATGAGAGGGAGAGTGGGAGGGAGAGGGAACTGGGATCAATATTTAAAATAAGAAGAAATAATAAATAAATAAATAAATAAATAAGTCACTGATGAGTTAAAGAAACTGATGTATAACAAGCATACCTCACAGAAGGGAAGACAACCACCATTTCAATTTCACAGAATGGTGAAATCTTAAAAATGATTGTAACTCATTGCCCAGGATGATTCTGTCATTTGTTCAGCTAACATTATTCTGTGATCGTGGATGTCTGTGCATTGTTTATAAGGTAATCAGGACCCACACATTCAACAATCTATTATTTGCTCAGCAAATATTCAAATGACTGTTTTGCTTTTGTTTTTTCATTTGTTTGTTGTTTCGTTTTTTTTTTTTTTGTTTGTTTTTTGTTTTTTTTTTTTTTGTTATTTTTGGGTTTTTTTATTTTTTTTCAGATCCAGTTGGGCATTATTTCCTTCTGTTGTCCTTAAAGTTGAGACAATTTCTCAGGTCAAAGAGTATTCAGGCTACCAGGGAAAATCCTCCTCTAAATACCAAAAATGGGGGAGGGATGCACTCGCTACCTTAGTATCTTCAGTTGTATATTTTGTGTTTGTGTATATGTTGGTCTTTGCACAGGCTTCAAAGGCACATTCAAAACAGGATGTCCAGGCAATGTGACATTTGGGAGCCTCAGTAAAGGCTGATTCCTTTAGCATCTTTATCTTCTCCTTTTCAGTGTATGCATGCACCAGGATGCATTTTTAATGGCCTGCCTGCTTTGGGAGTATAGAGATATAGCCTTATATTTCTTTAAGAGTTTTGCTTCAGGGAAGCAATGGCTACGAACCTCTGTTCTCGGAAGTTGCTTCACCTCAAACCTCATGTATTACAGGTAGGGAGCTGGATGAAGCATAATTCTTACTACAGCAATTTTCAGTAAATTGTTCTGCTAAATAGAAATATATTACCTGAAGGCTGCAAAAGTGATGATAAACCTGACCCTTCAGCTCTGCTTTTAAAGGTCGTTTTGGTTAAATGTAGACAAATTGTGATACAAAGTACCTTTGCTTGCTGTTTCCCACTTTTGCCTCCCCTCATACCTCATTATGCTAATGTAATGACTTATTTGACAGAGCAGTTCCATCCATAATCTTGGAAATATATAATGGATTTAATTTTCAAGGTTATATTTTCAGAAAACTATTAATGTTCCTTTCAAAGTCATTGAGACTGAGTTATGTTTCGGCAAAATATTAAATACATTAAAGGTCCCTCTCAGATCCAGTAAAGCCAATCAGTAATCCAGCTACAATTATTTAACAGCTCAGAGCCCAGCATTGTTAAACTTATTATGAATTAGCCATGCTCATCATTATTTTGGAAAATTAAACTTCTCTACACCATTCAAACTTCATCAGATAC